GAAAGAGCTGGGGGACATAGGTAGTAGGGCACAGTCCACAGATAATGGTGTGCGAAAGAAATTTACTGAATTATAGCACCCCCTGTGGGCACGAGAAGCGTCGTCATTATTATTACTGTCTACCAGGTGCTGAGGGAGAGTGGCTATACCTGGCCAGAGGGAAAGCTCTGATCCACAGCTCTGAGGGATGCCGGCATGTGCCTGCTGTAGGAGTGGCAGTGCAGGAGCTGGTCTCTTTAACTTGCAGATGGGAAGACTTGGGGTGTAGAGTCGCTGTCTTCAACCTTGGCTGGCCTGGCCTGTGGCAGGGAAGAAGGCCACGGTATACATCTGTGTCCCCAGCACCTGGAACAGGGCCTTCAGAATAGAGAATGAGCTTCAGAATAGGGAAGAGCTGTGGCTTGAGTTCAGGGGGTAGAGCTGGAACCAGCAGGTGAAAGGCAGGTTACCATTCAACTCAACTTTTGTAAATCAGAGTTGCCCCGAGGAGGAAGAATCCACCTCAGGAAGGAGACGTGAGCAGGACCGACAGCCACGGGGAGGCAAGTGGGTGGCCTTTAAAGTCCCTCCTAATTCTGAGACTCTGGGATTCTATCGTCTCCAAAAGCATTAGCCCAGGAGAAGATGATGATGATGATTGTGATGGTGATGGTGATGGATGATGATGGTAACGAGAGAAGTCTCTGTTTATTGAGCATCTGTGACAAAACTGGCACTTAAATCTTTATCTTTAATATGCATTTCCTATAAGAGGAACTGAGGCTTGCACAGGCAAAGTGGCCTGACCAAGGTAAATGGCAGAGCCGGGGTTTGTATCCACATCTCTTGGATTTCAAACGCTACATTCTTTTTAGTACACCTTGGAAGGCCAAGGGTTTGGGAAATAGGCTATATATCCAACATACATGCACTCCTCTCCAGATGAAGCCCTGATCTGCCGCTGCGGCATTGTGAAGATGGGGCACCCAGGGCTGCTGCCAAGGAGCTCATGGTCTGGGGTCAGAGGTAAGACCTGCAATTCAGACAAAGGTGATCTGAAATGTGCAGGTCTAATCATTGCCAGAGCGGCTGGGATGGGAGGCCTGGGAAAGATGGCACTGTTCGCCAGAGACTTGAGGGCTGGGTCAGGGGCTCCAGAGAGGTGGCCTTGTGTGGGATGTGGGTCAGTCCAAGGAGGGGGGTTCTTGTCCTGGAGCATGAAGGCTGTGACTTCTAGGTGGAGACCATTGGGGATGCCTAAATGGTGGCAACAGGGCTGCCCCGGCGCAACAGGAGCCAGCATGCAGCTGAGATCACCAACCTGGCCTTGGACATCTTCAGCTCTGTGAGCGACTTCCGGATGAGGCATGTGCCCACTGTGCCCATTCGCATCAGGGCTGGACTGCACTCAGATATGGACTTGGGGCTGCGGGAGTCTCCCAACCCTGCCTGGGACGCTGGCTGGGGCAACCCCAATGGCATCCTTCTGGAATCCTGAGATTCTAAAAATCCATAATAGAAAAATTTTACAATTCTTTTTTTCTTATATTATTTTAAGGTTCTAAGATGTCATAAATCAAAGAATCTGTGATGCTCAGATTCACACACATATATATTTTTATCTCAGCATCTGTCAAGGTCATCTAAATCCATGCTGAGGAGCTGATAGTCTGATGGAAGAGGCAAAACAGAGACCTTCTGTGGTCATGCAGACAACTCAGTATTTGCTGGGAGGGGACTAGGAGAGACCTCAGGGTCTCTACTATAGAATATCCTTCTCGTGCCCTCACCCCTTCCTCCCTCCATAACTTCACCAGTGGGATAAAGTCCAAACTCCCCACCCCCCTCATAGCCTCCAAGGCCCTTGCTATTCTCTCCAGCCACATCTCCCACCACTTTCCACTTTGTATTCTGTTTATACCCAGCCACTTGCAGTTTCCCACAGGCATGTGGGCTCTGTGCCTCTGTGCCTTTGCACCTGCTGTTCCCTGCCGACTCATTCTCTCATCCTTCAAGACACAGTTTAGGTACTGCCTCCTCCAGGAAGTCCTCTGGGCTGGGTCAGAGTCTTCTTTCTGGGCTGGCACAGCCCTGGTGCTTCCCTCTTCTCAACACTGATTAGTGTTTATACATATCTCCCCACCAGGCTGGGAGCACCCTAAGAGCAGAGCTTGGCTCCAATTTATCTGTGCCCCCCTACACCCAGCCCAGAGCCTGGCATAGATGTCATCTCCTCTCTGGGTGTTCTTGGAGATTCCGTACAGCTTCATCCTCACCCCCCAGCTGGAGCCCAAGATGTGGGGTGGGGACAGCAGTTTGGGGAGAACTGGGGGGACAAGAGTGTTGTAGAGACTTCTCTTGGGTTCAGGACCTGCTGGAGCTCACTGGGCACATCTGAGTTTCAGGGCCCTGAATGGCGGGGGGTTGTGGGTCTCACCATGCCTCAGTACTGCCTCTCTGGGGACACAGTTAACACCGCATCCCGGATGGAGTCTACAGGGATATATGAGTGTCTCATATTTCTATCCTAGGGAAGCCCAGAGAAGGACTCTCTCAATGACCCCTGCAGCCTGGCTGTTTGAAACAGTGCTTAGTAACCAAATCACCGCCTGGTGGCAGCGTACCCTAGTTATCAGTAAAACAACTAGAAGGAGATGATGTATGTCACTCGTTCTTTTAACTTTGCACAGGGTTTTTGTGATGATCCCATGAGAGAATTAGCAGGGGAAACAATGACTCCAGAGGCAGGAAACCTGGGTCCTCACCCTGACTGGGTCCGGTGTGCTTAGTGTCCTTAAGCAAAATGCTCTTCCTCTAGGTCTTGGTTTTCCCATCTTTCCAATGAGGAGACCCCTCCCAATTAAAAAAATATATGCCGTTTTAGACCCTTGCTGGCAGCAGGAGCCTCTCTGATGGCCTGGCTAGAGCAGCTGAAAAAACTGAGCCTTTGCTCCTGGCTGCACAGGTTGTGGGCTCCCTAATGTCGCTCAGTACGTATCCTGCTTAATCAGATGTATGGCCCTAGAGGGGAGCCCTGCCCTTAAAAGAAAAATAACTGCTTATCTGCACTGGGTCAGCCTTCAAAGACTTCCCTACAAGTAGAGATTATGTTCCTAGGGTTCTGACTTCATCCTGAGTTCTCCTTAACAATCAATCCATGTAGTTTCCTTTCCCTTGAGACCTCCACTTCAGTGCCCAGCAATCTACTAGGGGGACAAGAGGGCCAGGCAAAAGGTATTGCATGAATCAGAATTGTGTGCATGACTGGCTGGAACTGAGGCTGTTACAGGCTCTTAATGATTTTACCAAACACTGGGTATGCTGTCACCAGGTGGTAACTTGACTACTACCTTTCTTCTCAGCATACAGAATTCATGTCTGCATAAGCACCGCCCAGACACTGCTCAGCCTGGATGAAGGCTACAAAATTGATATCAGAGGCCAGACTGAGGTAAAGGTGAGAGAGACTTTCTTTCCTGGGATTGATGGGAAATGTCTCCAGAGGTCCAGTTTCTGCAGGCAGCAGGAGAGATTCTCATCTGACTGACATAGCTAAAGGAAATGCCGGCCTGGGAGCTGATCACCTTTAATGTCCTCCTCGCTCCCCAAATTCTAAGGAAACATTTCTTCCGGGGAGCCCCTCCCTCATTTGGCTCCTCATAAGGAGAAGGGCCGGGGCAGAGAAGTTACTTCCCTTGATGACCTGCCTGGGCAGCACGCTGGTGCACCACAGATAGTAACATATTTATTACCACAGAAATAATGAAAGGAGGATCCACGCCCCCATTTTACATTTGAGGAAATTAAATTAGAGAGGCAAAGAGACTTACCCAAAGTCACACAGCTGAATCCTAGGTCTGGTGGCTCCAAAGCCTGTGCCTTCTCCATAGCACTGTTGGGCCCCTACTCATCCTTCAGAACCCTAGCACAGACCTTAGCTCTCACTGAAGCCTGCCCTGACCCAGGAATATCTGTCTTCTTCCTTCCCCCCTGAAATAACTGTCATGCCTTCTCTGTGCACCCACCAGTCCCACAGCTGGCCCTCTGATGTTGTCAGTGTGATGTTGGGTTGTACCTGCCCATCAGCCCTCAAAGGCAGAAATTGGTCTGTCACGTCTGCATTCTTTTTTTTAATGTTAACGTTCAGTAAGGTAATGGTACCATCCTATGAATGACTTTTCTTCCTACCCCACCCCCTTTCATTTCCCCAGTTCCTCAGCTAGAGCCAGGCCTACAGGAGTGACTGGAGCAGCTGGGGCATTTAAAGGCCCAGGGTTGCGACTGGGCCCCAGAAATTGGGGGACACCCGTGGGGGGGCTCCACGGGACTCACTTCATTAAACGGTGAAATGTCAGAGCAGCAGCTCAGTGAGGAGCAGTAACTTGTCCAAAGTTGCACAGCCTGTGAGGGCCAGCGTAAGCGGAATCCTTTGCTTTGGAGGCTGAAGTTATGGGCGAGTGGAGTAAGGGCAGGCGTGTCTTGTTTGGGGGAGTAGGCACTAGATGTCCTAAGGAACAGAGGATTCTGATGACCGAAGGGGATGCAGAGTGGGAGTCGGGAGGGCAGTATGCCAGCCTCAAGTTCTTTGGGCCGACCTGAGGGATCCAAGGGGCAATACCCATCCCTGGTCCAGGTGGCGTGTGAAACTTCTAGGGCAGCCCATCCTGACCCCCCAGGTAGCTGCACCCCCATCCCAGGGGAGACCACTGTATCCTTCAACAGTTTGGGAAAATCACAAATCACAGAATCCTGGGATCTTAGCATTCCATGACTGCTGGTTATAGAACTCATGATTCATTATTTATTTATTTCTCTAACGGATAAATATTAATTCATTTAATCCTCACAACTCTATGAGGTATTCAGGAAACTGAGGCACAGAGAGGTGAAGTGAGTTGACCAAAGTCACACAGCTAGAAGTGACAGAGCCAGGATTTGGACCCAGACAATCTGCCTCCAGGCTCTAGGCTGCTTTCCTCCCAGCTGTGGGAATCCTGTCTCTGCCCTGGCTCTCTGCTTGAGAAGTTATGTTCAACTCTTTCC